TCACTTGTGGTTGGAAAGACGCAGTCTTAGTTTAAAAAACAAAACAAAGCAGAAAATAACAATTTTGCAATTCCATCTGCCTGTCCTGTCAAGGATGTTCCTTATTTAAAACACTGGGTGTTTAATTGTAGGACTTTATCATCACCATGGGAAAGTATGAACCAATAGAATACACTCATCTTCTTCCCCAATGTGATCCCAATCCATTGCTACAGGCTCCCACTAAACAGTACTTGACTATCTTCTGCACATGTAATAACATTTTTTCAAGTCCTTGTTTTATTCTAGAATAAGAGTAGCACCTATATGAAACACTGAAACACCAACCACCCTCAACCAGCTTCTGTGCAGGGATGGGAGCTCCAATTGAGGCTTTGTATTTCTGTAATCTGAAAAATTTAAGTCTTCCAGGAGAGAGTATGTCAGATTCCGAAAATTTCAAGCTAAAACTGAGGGAAAATAACCTCTTCCATAGTTGTCATCTCAAGTGAGCTTGTGATTAGCCATCTGGGAATAGCATATATGAAGAGAATGCCGTGAGTACTGATAATACAGAATTGCATTTTTAACTTAAACTCATCATGTGTTTCTTTTAAATAAGCATTTTTTTCCTTGAAAAAAAAAAATCCCACCATATTCAACTCGATGAAGTCCCTTAGGAATACTTCTGTAATCTTGAGAACAGAAAAGTCTTCTGCTTCAAGACAGAAAGGCAACAAGCAGTCCCCCTTCTTTCACAATGTCTCTTTGAGTGCGGACTCGTATTAATTCTAACCCACTGAAAGAGTTTTTTTGTAAAGGTGACAACCACATCTTTTCCACACTACTACTGTGAACGCATCTCACCTAGAAATAACTTTAGCACCAATCTGTGTGCTAGTGAGGTACACAAGTTTTTATAAAGAACCAGACGGTCTCTGGCAGCTGCTTTCAGATCCTACGATACAGCCAAGTACACCAGGCACCACTCCTACTACACAAACAGGTGCTACAGACTTTAAGACAGGAACTCACCTCTACTTTGTGAAGGGACCATCACCTACAGCTGGCAATACATACAACATAGCAGGGAACAGAGGTGGGATTTACCGACAAGTCAGATGCCTTAGCGTATTTGAATTCTTATTTCCCATGCCTAACTCTTTATTTTATTGTGGCTTGTACTACTTACCTATTTTCAATTACAAATACTGTGGCATATTTTAGAAGTATACGCTACGAACTTCAAGAAACCACCTAAGTGGTTCCCCAAGACCCCATCTGTAAAGCCTGAACAGTTTTTTTATTGTCCCAACAGAGCTTTTCAAGACATTCTGGTGCTTTCCTGCCACCAGAATTCAAGATCTTTGACCCAACATATTAACCAAACAGCTAATTTGGGGGGTTTTTTGTCTGTGTGTATTTTTTTACAGACTAAGACCTTGCTACCCAAATTTGTGAGCAGTAAACAAAATACTCACCTCTGCAACAGACTGAAGGCTCCGGGCAAACTTGAGCTGATTAACACCGTGGTGCACGGGTTTGCCATAGGTGGCACCTTTCGGGACTGGGCGCTTGCGGCCACCACGGCGGACGCGGACACGGTAGATCACGTAACCTGAAAGAAACGGCAACTTAGGAACTAGGAGAATTCTAGTAGGGATTTTAATGCCCATATTGCATTTCCAACCCCCAAAAATTTACATGAAATGCTGCCAAGATTAAAGTCATTATAATAACCTTCACCAAAATTTACATCTGAAGTTGGATAGCACAAGATTTTTCTGTTATTTTCATCACAACAGAGTAAAGGAAGTGATCTCATCTCACAACTAGTTTTTGGTTCCAAACCAGAGGTTATGGCACCTTTTCACTATTCAGTCTCAAACAGACTAAGAACAGCTACAGCTATGTTGTAACATGATTACAAAATGTAAAAAATTTAAAAAAAAAAAAGAAAAAAATCACCCCTGAACACCCAACAAAGCCACCACTCAAACTCTGAAATCTCATATTCTAACAGCAGCATTCATAAAAGCACTGAAGCACAAGCCATCCACAAACCCTACTGAATTCTAATCACTGAATAACGACCAAATTAGATGAGCAGTGACAGAAGTGTAGAGTCTTAGCTTTTTATCTTCCTAGTGAATAAACATACTGGTTTTTGTAATGGGATTTGCTCAAGTTACACATAGATGGCCACTTTCTCCACTTCCTTCCCTAAGCAATAACTGTTTTCCAATAACAGTACAAACTCCATCATCTTGCTTACTCAAGTGCATGCAGCTGTAATAACAGTCACGGAATCACAGAATGGCCCAGGTACTTGAAAGATCATCTAGTTCCAACCCCCCTGACATGGAGAGGGGACACTTTCCACTAGAGCAGGTTGCTCAGAGCTCCATCGAACGTGGCCTTGAACACTTCCAGGGATGGTGCAACCTGTTCCAGTGTCTCACCACCATCACAGTATAGAATTTCTTCTCCAAAATCTAAACTCAACCTACTCTCTTTCAGTTTGAAGCCATTCCCCCTTGTCCCATCACTACTTGCTCTTGTACAAGTCCCTCTCCAGCTCCCTTGTAGTTCCCTTTAGGTACTGGAAGGTTGCAATTAAGTCACCCTGAAAAAAAGTCAAAGTAACGCATGACAATGCTTAGGCAGAGAAAAGACACCCCCCAAACCCAAGATATTAACAGCACTGCTCAACTCTGCAGTACCAACAGTGCACAAGAACTGGGGCCAAAGCCCACTTGATCTTCATCTGCCAAAGCAGCCGTAGAAGGTGCAGATGGAAAATTAAGGGGAGCTAAGGTTTTAGGTTGTGGATGTTGCTACCAACTGAACACGTTTATGATACTCAGCTGATTTCATGTTGGACACTTCAGTTTATTAGGGGATGCTTCAGTTTCAGATTGTTATCCTGCTGCCACTTAAGGAAGCTGACGAAAGACCAGGTCACTGCATTCTGAGGCATGTGGAATTCACCTCTCCATGCCATTACCTTGCTTGGCCTTGTACCCCAGCCGGCGGGCTTTGTCCGGGCGGGTGGGGCGCGGTGCCCGGTGCAGGGCCGACAGCTGCCGGTACTGCCAGCAGCGCACACGCAGCAGGAACCGCATCACGTCCGACTGCTTCTTCCTCCATAGCTCCTGGATGTACTTGTAGGCACCCATGTCTGTCTACCTGCTGAACGGAGAGGCCGGTGAAAACAACGCACCAAAACCCGATCCCAAACCTGAGCGTCTTCCAACACCAACACTGCATAAAACCACACATGGAACACCACTGAGAGACAGGGAGCTCACAAGCTCTTCTGTACCACTGACACAACTGGAAACATGGATCACACTTAGCAACCCCCAGCAGGACATGCAGCAGTCACCATTCCTGGCAATTTTTCTCCTTTTCATGTGTTCTGAGGTGTTAAAAACTCCTCCACCGAGAAAGTTTCCGATGTGTTATGTCTGATACTACCAAAAATAACAGTTAACACCTGAAACAAGTTGTAAATGTCAATCTACACAGAACCAGGGGAGGGCAAGTAGTGTAGTTTTTATTCTTAACACTTACTTTAGTAAGGTTTTACTGGCAAGTGAAAGCTTAACAGTTGCCTAAGAAATGGAAAGAACTGCATTGGGACTTCTGTTCTCTCAGTGCTACTCACACTGTGCCTCCTACATCTCAGGAGAGACAAGGCCTTTCTCCACATCTGCTGAAACTGGGCTTTAAGCAAAGTGAGGTGTACTGCTTGGGTCATACATGGAGCAAAAAATCAAGTGCCACAGCTCAGCGTCCCACTGATGGTGACACCTGAGCCTGTGCTCTGCTCCACAGATGCCTTGCATTTTCTTTTCTTTTCTTTTAAGTTAATTTCTTTAAATTATTTCTGCTAAGTACCATCAGGGTCAATTTGTATTGACTTCAGCAGAGCAAGGACTCAACACAATGTTCCTACTTTGCCTTTAAGAAAATAACGATTATTACAAACCCCCTTTTCTGAGTCGAACGCTTCTGAAAAGCTCTAGGCATTTTAAAATCAAGTATTACTTTATGTGTTCATCCTGTTTATTGCTGGTTTCCTAGAAACCTGAGGTCTCACACGCCTGCAGCAACCAGCACGTGTACCCGCACTCCATCAAACCCCCACCCAACTCACCATCTGGAACACGCCGCCCATTTTATTTACACTATAAGAAAAAAAAGATCCAAATCCAGCTCGTGTGTGATTTGGATACCCCTCTTGTTTAAAACTGCCCAGGTACGGCTCATCCCTTCCCATCCCCTGAGGCCCGCCGTCTTCCCTGCATTATGGCAGAGAACACCATGAAGGAATCGCAAACCCGGAGCCAAAGAGGGGCCTGAGGTCTGTCAGTGACCTGCAGCCGCTACGTTGCGCCACTGTCCCCCCTGTGTACCCCCCGGGTATCCCCAGCCACTCCTCCTCCCCTTCCCGCCCCGCCGGGGCGCAGTCCCCTGGCCCTCCGCCACCGGCCTCCCAGGGCGCCCGCGCCGCGGGAGCAGCCCCGTGCCGCCCGGCTCTGGGCGGATGTGCGGCGGGATCCGGGGATGGGCGCGGATGGAGGGAAAGGCCGCGCGCGGACAATCCCTCACCTGATGGCGCCCGGCACCGGAAGGGAAGAGGCCCACTTCCCACAAACCCTAGCGGTAGCGCCGCGCTTCCGGCGGCTGCCGCGGCGCCTCATGGGTAATGCAGTCCCCGCAGGGGAGCGGTGCCGCGCGCCCCGCTCCGCCCCTCGCGGCCCGGCCCCCCGCGCCCGCCAATGGGAGCGAGGGGGCGTGGCCCGCACGGGTCAATGGGCCCGGCGCGAGGTTCTGCCCAGGTGTGCGCGCGCGCTCGGGGGTCGGGGGCGCGCTCGGGGGCTGAGGGCGGGGGCGCGGACCGGGGCCGGACCTGGGGCAGGGGCTCGGCGAAATGCGACATCCTCTGAAACACCCCCCACTCTCCCCCCCCAGGTTAGGGATTGGGGGGGGGGGGACGGGACTTCCCTCAAAATCCTGAAAAGAAGCCTTAAAAAAAAAAATCTCTAAAATAATAATTAAAGAACTCATACGAGTATGAGGAACGGCTGGGGTTTGTTTAGTCTCGAGAAGAGGAGGCTCAGCGGGGGCCTTATTGCTCTCTACAACTACCTGAAAGGAGATTGTAGTGAGGTGGGGTTCAGTTTCTTCTACCGTGCCTGCAGTGAGAGGACCAGAGGAAATGTCCTTAAGGTGAGATAGTGGAGATTCAGATTAGATATTAGAAAAAAAAAAATCACTGTTTGGATGGTCAGGCATTGGAATGGTTTGCCCAGGGAGGTGGTGGAGTCACCATCCCTGGAGGTATTTAAGAGGCATCTGGATCTGGATAATGTGGTTTAGGGGTCACAGGGGTAGTGCTGGATTGATGGTTAGACTGGATGATCTTGAAGGCCTCTTCCAACCTTGATGATTCTATTCTATTCCAAATAATAAACCCTAAGGGCTGAAAAAGCCCTAAAACCAGCTCCAAAACCTTTTCAGTGGGGGGGTAAGGAGGAGGGCACCGGGGAGCCCCCAGAGCTGCAGCCCCCTCATGGTGAGCATGAGCAGCCCAGGCTGGGGCCAAGGTTGTGACTTTACCCATCAATCTGCTCCCATCCCTCCTGTGTGCAGCGTCACTGAGTGACCTAGTCTGATGGGTGGCATCCCTGCCTATGGCAGGGGAGCTAGAAGGAGAGGATCTTTAATCTCCCCTCTAACCCAAGCCATTCTATGTTTCTATGAGTTAGGCTTTCCCAGCCTGCAATTCCTTCCTACCTGTGGCTGCAGGGTGACCTTTCTGTTTTTCAGTGTATGCTTTGCAGAGCACCCTGGCTTGTGCAGTGTTACCTGGTTAAACTGGAAGTGAAGCAGGACAACGCCAGTTCCTCCTGGTCCAAAAAAAGGTACTCTTCATCTCTCTCTGTGGCAAATGGCTCCAAACAACAAACTGAGTTCGGGCCTGCTGCCCTGCCATGGCTCACTGGCGGAGGGAACTGCCTCAGCTGCTGGACACCTCCTGCTAAAACCAACCCCCCACCCATCCAAACTGATGTAAAGCAGACTGCAAAAACCTGCTTCTGCATTTGCTTTCCATACTTCTGCCTTTAACACTCCTATTTTGTAGGTCCTAGTCTGTAAAAGCTATAAACTTTCTGTGGGTGAAATAAAAGGGAGGGAACCACCATTTTCTTGCATTTCCAGAACCATCCTGGTACCATCAGGCCCACTGCAAAACCAGGCAGCCCAATAACACAGTGTTACGCCAACAAACACAGCCCCTGTCCCCGGGGCCTTCCACGCTTAATCACTCGCAGCCTCCCTGAGCCTGACAGGACAAGTGTCGAGGCTGCAGGCAGGCATCAGCACCACTGGCAGCAGCCTAAAAACCTTAAAAAATGGTGTGGGAGGAAACTCGAGTCCTAAAAATATCAGTCTCTGGCGAGCGCCTGGGAGAGAGCTGTGCCTCCGAGTCTCCCGTTGCTTTGCGCTTTGCCTCTCGCTTTCCGTGGGCTCTGCTCCCGCCGGGAGCGATCCCTGCCGCCGTGCCAGGCTAACAGCCTCCTGTGTCTGCACAGGGCTCGCCCGCCGACTCTGCTCCCTCGGGAAAGATGGGAAAGGGCTACAAAGTGGTGGTTTGTGGAATGGCCTCAGTGGGAAAGACTGCGATTTTGGAGCAGCTTCTCTATGGAAAGCATACTGTTGGTGAGACATTTTTACTTTTGGGGGGAGGTTGTTTCCTTTTCCAGTGTTCTGTGTGGGCCCCAAAACACCAGTAACTGAGGTGAAAGAGAACTGCACTGAAGTGAAGGAGAAAATTCATGTGGTTTTGTTGCATCTCTGGGCAGTTCTTGAAATTCATAGTCACTTACTGGCAGATTTTTAAAAGAGCCTTGGAGAAGAACCCTTCCCGTGATGTTCCCAGTTATAAAACACGTGAATGTTTAAAGAGAAACAAACACAGAAAGTAGGTGATGTGCTTGCTGCCTATTTACGTAAGAAATATCTCGTTCCCTGAAGGACGCCATAGATGCCTGAAAAATAAATAATGTCACATGATGAGTGGAGACACTGTTTAGACTTTTGTTTCATCTTCTTAAAGCTTTATTTTGCTTGGTTTTGGCTAACATTTAATCAAAGCTCTGGCAAGAAAAACAGCTAAGCTTTAGGTTCCACATTCTGTGCTGAACTTTGAAGGCCAAGTGTCTCAGCTCTCAAAGAAATCCTCCTGTGGAAAATAGACTTGACAGTGGAGCAGGGGATGTTTGAGATTTGCTGTGCACAAAAGAAAGGGAACAAAGGCAAAACCGGCATGTTTCCCTCTGTTTCCACGTGACTTGGCTTTGAGAGGAAGGGCAACGGTCATTAAGCTGACAAATTATTCCTGCCTCGCCCAGAAACAAGGGGTGGCACCAGGGTTTTGACAGAAGATGCCTAGTCACTATATATCTTTTTCTTGAGTTGTTAAATTAGACCTTGGTATAAGTTACTGCGTATACACCAGGATTTCTAGAATGGTGCTTTGCAGCACTGCTCCTTTAAAATGCGTGGATGGGAGGAATTTGCTGGCAAAGCGTGATACAGAACTGTGTGCTAATACCCGTGTTTAAAAGGAGGATTTCCTCTAATGTTGCAGCAACATCTGTTTCCAGCATCCTACCGAGTGCTATGCACGTAGCCCCGTGTAGCTTTCAACGTGAAGGTTGCAAAACCTGGAGGCTGAAGGTTTTTCCCTGTGCTACCAACCTGCCTCTCCTCCGCGTTGGGCTGGGTGATTGTCAGGGACACCCGAGCAGCATGAGCAAGGCCACGTTACTTAAATCGTATTGCCTTGCATTAATTCCTGCCTCCTATTAGCAACCCAGGCAGGAAGGATATTCGGGTGTTGCTGATCAGAGGAGCTATTTATGGAGCCAGCCATGTACATGATTATACAACGTCATGGATGCTGGCTGACATAACCGGAGGGAGACCTTGTGCCTGGGGTTTAGCTGTGGGTGTCCCTCTGTCGCTCCCAAATGCTCTGCTCCATCTTGGCCATTTAGAAATGCAGACCTCCACCCACCACATCTTGAAAAGATCAGTTTTCCTTTCCTGCAGCTTGTCTCTTATTTTTCGGAATTATCAGAAGGAGAGGGAGCAGCTGGGGAGAAAGAAGAAGGTAGTCTCCTGGTTTCTATGATTTTGGTCAAATCTTATTGCCAAGACATTCAGAGAAGGGGGCAAATAGTAGGGTCTAGATCAAGATGTGGAGAGGGCTCATTATGGAGCCACTGCAGCCCCAAAGGATGAGAGACTGTGGCTCAGCAGTTTTGATGTCACTCGTGTGGGCCATCGGGCACATTTTGGGGGGTGGACTGGTAAATTGGTGGTTTTGGCAGTCCTCCTGAGTGGTCACCATCCTCCCTGCCTCTTCCTTAGTACATGGGCAGTTGTGGCAGAGGGTGCCTGAAGTATGGGCTGGTGAAAATGGTTCCCATAAGATCTTCAACTCTTCTTCCACTCTGTACTGATTTAGCCCTCAAACTGCAGAGGCAGGACACCACTGTGAGGGTCTCACTGAGCAAGGACAGAGTTTGAGGAATGGCGAGTCTTTTGAGTGCTTCTTAGCTGAGCTGCTTTAAACTGCACAGACCCATTGCTGGTGCTACCATTGCAGGGGTGGCACTTCCACGCTTGAAACATGATTACTGGGTCATGATGCTCATTTCCTAAAGCTTGCGAGCTCCAGAAAGCTGACATGTACATTCTGGCTTCTGGCCTTTTTGGCAGGAGGCAAAAAAGACTAGTGTGTTTGCTGAAAGCCTGTCTGTTCAGAGCCAACCAACAAGGCAGCTCATCGGGCATGGCAACATGGACACAAGCTGTTTCAAAACCTGTGCTTCCTGACTGACGTCAGGAGCAGCTCCGTGGCTGGTCTGAGGGCCGGGGAGCCGTGGGGAGGACTGCTGAGCCAATGCATGGAGTCTTTCCATTTTGATGGCATGCACATCCTCCTCCCAAGTGACAAGAGGCATGCCTGAACTTAGTTGGAGGCTCAGAGCACAAGGTCTGGTGCCATTCTCTGAAGTGTCACAGCCATTGACACGAGAGGTTCCTCCTGGCTGTAAATCAGCCACGTGTCTATGTCAGTGCTCATGTGCCTCCTGTTGACTTTCCTGTAAAAAGAGTGGAGACACAGCTGCTGTCAGAGAAGTGATTGGAGTCCTTGGAGGTTTAACGCTGCTATGTAAAGCCCTTGGCTTTGAGCCCATGCTCCTGGCTGTGTGCTCGGTGATGTTGCTGTGAACCCAGTTGCACTGTGTTTCTTTACCTAGAAAAATGTGCAACTTCAAGTCTCCCTGGCTTGTCACCGATGAAGTCCCAAAGTGCCACTGTTGCTCACATGGTCAGCAGCTAACACTCTTGCAAAGGCACTAGGATTACTTGAGGTCAAAGAGGAAATAGTACTCTGGAGGGAGGAATAACTCTGTAGCATGTGAGCAACCATGTGTGGTACTGGATATTGTGATAGGCTTTAAACTGCAAGAGAAACTGTTTGCCTTGTGCCCCAGGATGGGAAGGGAGAGGGCAAAAAGATGAGAGATGCTCTCGGAGCCACATAAAATAATGTACATATTGCATGGCAGACTCTCTTGCTAAACTAATACAAGGAATCAGAAGAAAACCTAAAAGGAGATGTTTGAAATGGATGCAGATTTAGCTTTGCGTCATGTAGGGACTATATTGCCATAGGTCAGGACGAATAGTTGTTAAGAATTGCACATATGTACATGATACCTATAAATGCACAGCAGTGTGCCCAGGGGGCCAAGAAGGCCAATGGCATCCTGGCTTGTGTCAGAAATAGTGTGGCCAGCAGCACCAGGGCAGTGATTGTCGCCCTGTACTTGGCACTGATGAGGCCACAACTCAAATCCTGTGTTCAGTTTTCGGCCCCTCACAACAAGAAGGACATTGAGGTGCTGGAGTGGGTCCAGAGAAGGACAACAGAGCTGGTGAAGGGTCTGGAGCACAAGTCCCATGAGGAGCAACTGAGGGTTGTTTAGCCTGGAGAAAAGGAGGCTTAGGGGGAACTTTATCACTCTCTACAACTTCATGAAAGGAGGTTGGAGCAGGTGGGAGTTGGGTCTCTCCCAAGTAACAAGCAACAAGACAAGAGGAAATGGCCTCAGTTAATGCCAGGGGAGGTTTAGATTTGATATCAGGAAAAATTTCTTCACTAAAAGGGTGGTCAGGCATTGGAACAGGCTGCCCAGGGAAGTGATGGAATCACCATCCCTGGAAGTGTTCAAAAAACACATAGGCGTGGCACTTGGGGACACGATTTAGTAGTGGGCTTGGCAATGCTGGGTTAACAGTTGGACTTGATCATCTTAGAGGTCTTTTCCAGCCTTAACTATTCTATGATTCTGTGATTGCCTGGTACCTGGGATGGGAAATGTCATGAAATGGGTTTTTGACTGGCAGTAGAAGATTGTCCCACTAAATACCTGTGGTATGTGGCACTGCTTGGCCTGACCTCTCTTGACTAGACTAACAGGAGAATTGTTGCCTTAACTTTGGCATGGGACATATCTGTAAAAAGGATAGTTATTTTTCCTTAAACAGTGTCCCTGTTCAGTGATGGTGCAGAAAGGAGTCTTCCTTCTGCTTTTACCTCAAAACCTATGGTAAAGCTTATCAGCTCAACAGAAGGAGATGAGAGCTCTTCCTATAGAACATTTATCTCTGCCTCCTGGCTGTGTAAATAGCTGGTATGGCCAGGTTATTCACAAGCAGCTACTTCAGATCCTCTTACTAAGTAGGAATGAAAACACCATATATTACTGTGGTAGAACCCATAATGAGAGAATTTGCCTCACTTGGTCGAGCTGGAGGGATTGGGGTTTTGGCTTATACAGCTCATAAGATGTGGAGGCTAATTAACCTAATTATGCATTCATAGAATCATAGAATGGTTTGGGTTAGAAGGGACCTTAAAGATCATCTCCTTCCAATTCCCTTTCCATGGGCAGAGACACCTTTTTACATATTTGCTTCTTAAATTAAAACTACCTCATGATAGAGGTGCAGTCAGCTTTGCATTTTAGAAAGATGGAAATAGAGCTGAATGTATGCAACCGAGGGTCACAACCTGGCTACTTGTTAGCAGCTAAATCTAAATAGACCAGCTCCTTTTGAGATCTACCCAGCTCTTCTCTGAGTCAGGGATCCTCTGATAGACTGTCATTTGAGACCTAAGTAAGCAAAGCCCCTTATCCTGCAGTTTGCAAACATAAGAAATAGCAGGCTTTAGAAGCTCTTTGCTGAATTCCTCCAGAAAAAGGGAAAAAGAGATTACATAGATCTTCAAAAGTACTTAAGAAGACTCAAAATTTGCACTGCATTATGTTCAAGATGCAATTGTGAACTTATGAAATTCCATCCATCTTGAAATTTTGATTTACTTTTGTATTTACAATATATCTGCCATGCCAGGCCTGAGTGTGCAGTATTCATTAGTATATTGAGCCTTTTCTTTACCTCATTGGGAAACCACAAAGGTTTGAACACCATCCAATTTATGACTGAGGCTTCCCCTTGCAGTTCCTCTGTGTCAGCAGTTGGTAACATAGACAAAGACCCTTCTGCCTCTCCTAAGATTTGCACCAGCTCAGTAGACCTCGGAGAATGGCATCACTCCTGTCTATTCCTCCTTCCCCTTCCTAACTTTTTTATGCCTTTAGTTTTCAAAGAAAGCATGAGATTGTGCCCTGTCTTGTCAGTTCCCCTTCACCCCTGTAACTTCTGAACCTGAAAGGTGGCTCACTGTAGTGCTCTCCGCCAAAGAAAATCTACTCAAGCTGGCAGCAGTCTGCAGGGCGGTAACTTCCCAGCCCAAGCTGCCCTTGCCCACCCAGGTAGCAAAGGTGGGAGTGTGCCTGGGGATGCCAGTGAAGGAAAGGAGAACCAGGGTTCTTGTGGCAGGGAGGATTGGATGGTGCCAGCACCTTTCTAGGGCACTGACACAATTAGTCTTAAAACAACTTGCCTGGACCATATTTGAATGGATACCAGGAAAGTGTTTGAATGGGACGGTACTAACAAGAAGTGTAAATATCATTGTCAGTAAGATGTGGCTAATACATGGTCTGGGCTTTACAAGCAAGGCCTTGAATAAGGTGGCACAGGTATTTCTAAAAATTATCTGTGTTTACTTAGGAAATTACTTGCATATACTGCCTCCCCCAGTGCACGTAGGTGAAATTTCACCTCTGGAGTCTGATACTGGTACATAAATTCCAACTCCCTCCTAAGAGGCCCCCCTATTTCGTATCAAAATTTGTTGTTCTATTCTGCTGAGTTAAATCCCAGGTCTTAAATTTTCCTCTTCATTTTCAAAGAGGATGTTAAAGACACAATTTTCACTGCTGCTTTTAATGCCATTGGGAAGAGATTGCCACAGGATAAGGTGGATATATTAGATGTCATTGAATTACAGTGCAGCATTTAGATGACAAAAAACTGTACAACATTATTCATTGCTTTCTAAAAAGAAAACTTAGGTACTTATGGTTCGTTCCTTCTTGCCAAAGCTGTATTTACTGATTTCCTTGACCTGTCTGTACAATGCAATGAGGCAGAACAAGAACATAGTGCTATGTCTATACAACAGTGCTATATCCAGAAAGGGCTCCATTACTACCTCAGTCTTTAAAAATACCCCTATAACACATTCTACAACCACACAGAATGCGTTTGTGCTTCCTTTTTTATTAACCTTTGTTTTGATCTTCTGTTCTTAGTTTTGCTCCCACACATTAGTAGGCTATATTTGGAGGCGAGATAAATTAAATCATTGGAAACCTAATAAGAGTTTAATCTATGAAGACTGCGCAGAGAGGGGCAAAAAGAACAGCTTGTGCCACTTTCCTGCACAGGAATGCTGCATACACATGGGAAACCATCAGCGTGGGTGGAATGCTTTAACTTCTTTGTCAATGTGAAGTATTTTGAATAGTGTCATTGAATATAGCAAAATCCTTATTTTCACAGGCCAGATAATCCCTCCTGTTTCCTTAAACAATGCACTAAAATGGTCCCTTTTTGGCAGACAAAGAGAGTAATGCAGGACTCATTACTGTAGCCCTGCAACAGCAAACAATTGTATACAGGAGTGCAGTGGAGGCAAAAACATGGATTGCAGAGGGTTTATATGAATATTTAAAATCAACTCTGAAAGGGGCCCAGCTACACTATACATAGGATGTTTGGACCTGTAGCCTTATGCACCTGCATCCAGGAGAAACACAAAGCTAAGGTGATTTATGTGTTTCTGGGTTTGTCTTGGGGAAAAAAAAATCGTTTAAATTAGTTCAAAGCAAGCTGCCTTGAATTACCTCACATTTACTAGGGGTAGAGGAGGAGGGAAGGAGGGCCAGTATGCAGATAGTCACCATGGAACAGGTGATACACGTATCAAAGCTTATTACACTGTGCATGCTCTTACCTTGCAGTAAATGAACTTGCTCCTATTAGCAAATCTGAGTCATTTTAAATCCCTAAGGGATGGAAAAAGCTCACTGTGCATTTGAGTAAATAGAGTATGCAACTTTTTTTGTATGCAAACATCCCCTTCCCTTTCTGGCTTGGTTTCACTTGTTAGTTAGATGTACCACCAATGCACATTCATTCCCAGAATTATTCCTTTGGCTGCTGCTTCTGCAGTGTGACCCAGCTCATTATGCAGCAAAGAAGTAGACTTATGATGTTAGTACTTGCTATCTGGTGTTTCTCAGCTGTTGTTCCAAAAGGGTATGTTTGGGCAGGCCCTTTTGCAGCATGTTTGGCACAGAACTGGTGCACTGGGTGGTTGGAGTTTGGAAAACCTGGAGGGAGAACACACATCTTATCCTATTCTGAATGTGCATGTTGTATAGATTAATTTTACAGGCATAATCATGTGCTTATATATTAGGTGGTTGTATTTACAGTGATGCTAGTGGAAACAGCTAGTGTGGTCATCTATGAATACAACCCTCCATGGGAATACCAGGAAAGGCTGAGTCCAAGTCAAGTCACACAAGAAAACATGCACTGAAAGCTGTTATGGGGTAAAATTCTGCTGTCCTGCAAATAATTATTATAGTGGTGCTTTACCTATAGCAGTTGAACTTTCCTGCTTGTTTTCAAACAGGCTTAGAAGAGGGTGCCACAATGGAAGACGTGTATTTGGCATCGGTGGAGACAGACCGAGGCGTGAAGGAACAGTTACGGCTTTATGACACCAGAGGTCTGCAGGAGGGCGTAGAATTGCCAAAACACTATTTCTCTGTTGCTGATGGCTTTGTTCTGGTGTATGCTGTGACCAGCCTTGAAGCCTTCCAAAGAGTTGAACTGCTCAAAAAGGAGATCGATGTCTTTAGGGACAAAAAGGAGGTAAATGCATGCTTGGCTAAATGCTGTATCAGTGATAGGAAGTTAAGATGGCAAAGAATAGATTTTGTTTCTGTAAAACTCGCATACAAAGGAAAACTAATGTACCCACAGCCTTGGGCAACCCAGCAAAAGGAAGCTTTCTCATGGTGGAGAAGTCTCATTCACATGCCATGCAGGTCATTCAAAAGAATGCTTTTTGTTTTCTCTTCCTTATTTCCTCTAATAGAGCTAAAATTCAGTCAGCTGAATGCACCAGCCAGGGCACTTATGACTAATAAAACATATGGTCTACAGCAGTGCAGCTCATATGTTTTCTTAGATATTGTACAGGGGAAGTCAAGTGCATGGAATAATATAGCAAAGGGCATTATCTTTGTTTGTTTTGTATTCATGTACTTGATGGCTTGCAAACTAGTGTAATTGACAATGGGTCTCCCAGACATTAGTCAATTGGCAAAGCAGCTTTAATGTATTTTAACAACCATATTGAATCAATTCAATTGTGTGAAATGACTGCTCTATTTTCCCTTAGAAAGCAGCTAGTGTTTTCAGCTGACAGTGTTCCAGCTTAGCTAAACAAATATAACTTGCATGTGGCATTAGCATTATGGCTTTTCCTACAATATCTTTATATTCTCAAGTAGTTTTCTCTGCTAAAAGTCTTTGGCCTACAGCTTTCCAAATGCCTGTTTTATGCTGTTTGGGGGAAAAAAAAATGCATGAAGAATTAATTGGATAATGGTAGGGAGAGACTTTCCAAGAATGTTACTTGTTTTGTACTGACAGCACACAGGGTGGTAGAGGAAGGCAGGCTCAAGTTTGACAGCAGAACGAATGTGCAGTCACAGGAGCGGTATGTTAGCTGGTAGGGCTGGTGTGAGCTGCAGACTGTCACGTATATCAGGGATACAGGAGTCAATCATAACTCCCCTGCAGGGCAAGGAAAGGTGGACAAGCAGGAAATTTTTCCCAGGTGCTGTGTTTTGTGAGGGCCCTGATTTGTTACTCTACAGCATGTTGTAATGAGGAGAGGGAGTCACAGCTCCAACAGGATCTGCATCCTGCTGTTCTGTGTTACCTGTCAGAACTTCTCTTTCATTGCATGCAGGTATTTTAGAAAACAGACAGTTTGCTTATCCTTTTGTGATTTTGACTGAGGATAACGTAGTCAAAAGAGTGGTGCCCACAATAAAATGGATAAATTAGTTTCATTCCTGTGATTTCTAATCCATATAAAGTAGGCTTTGAAGCACAGAAGGTAAAATCAGGAGTCCTATCTTAAGATAGCTGGTAATCAGTGGATTAATTATTCTATACTTAAAGTTTGGGCTCTGATAGAATGAATCCTTAACTGAATTAGGAATGTATGTGCTTCTGAGCTGGTAGAACTTCAACTTGTTGAGCGGCACAGTCCTCTGTTGTGTGGTAGATGACAGAAAGCACTGATGGCTGGTTCCTTGTCTCTGCTGGTGGTAGGGGTTCTCCAGCACGCTTAAAGTCTGGCCAAATTTTACACTACATAGAGGTTGTGTCTGTTATACTGACAGGGCTTACCCATAGATAAATTCAGTTGGAGCATGTGATAAATGCACATGAAGATTATAGCTTCTTTCAAAGCCTTCACAGAGGGGAAAAAAACCCCCAAACAGCATTTTTTCAAACACCCTGGACTGCTGTAAAAAAGAAAGGAAGCCTCAGACCTCACAGGAACAGGACAAACAGCTCTAGCTGGAAAGAAACAGAAGACATCCTGGCGTTAGCCTGATGAACAGGAAAGAGCAAGCAGGTGTGGCCACAGCAAAACCCACAAATCATCAGTAAGAGAGGACTTTATGACTTGATCTCTGTCAAACTACTAGTGTAGAGATGAGACCAGAGTCTGACTGAGGACCTTGAACTGTACATGTAGGCATGGTTTCCCCTAAGAGCTGATGCTGGTAAAACATTTTTAGACAATGGTTAGCTTAAAATAAGGAGGAGCAGTAACTTCACCTGTCCAGCACTACTTTCAGCACTTCCTAGAACTGAAATACTGGGAAGGCTGCATATGCCTACTGAGCTCAGCCACCCTGTACTTGTCTCGGTCATACAGAAGTCACTTGGTGGATCCTTACAGCTATGAATCTGACTTGATACCACTGTGCTGCTCTACTTGGCTAATAACCAGCTGCTCTTGAAACTGCTTCCCAGAGGACAGTGCTGGTGCTTATCTGCCCCTTTCAGCAGACTGTCCCTGCTTCGGTCCCTCTGGTGGCTCTTGGTGCCTGGGGCGGGACAGCCAGCGGGCCGGGCTGGGAGAGGGGCCCAGCAGCCCAGCCTGCCTGGGCCACTGGCACGGTTGGCTTTATTTATATTGTGGGCTGGGGCTTGGAAAAGAAACAAACAGGGCAAAATCCACAGCTGTGGGGTCCAGGCTTTCTCTGCTGCCGTGCATTTTTTCATCTCTCAAGCATCTGCTGCTCTGACCTACTCAGATGTCATGCTCTTATCATTTGCCTAGGACAGCTCAATTGCCAAGTAAGTGGAGAATCAGGCTGTTTAACTTTGGATCTCTCTGGTATTGTTTCCCTTCCAAGCAATTGGTGGGGGGAGCAGGGTGGGGAGAAGGGGGAAGTCCTGCATATCCTATGATGAAAACAAGCTCCCAACCCACAAGTAGATGAGGCTAATTCAAATCCCAGACCCTGATCTTCCAAACTACATGCAACTTACCTTGTGCCAGGGCTAAGTTAAAGGACAGGTCTGAACTGTGTAGCTACTTGCCTGCTGTTTAAAAGGATTGTGACTGGTGGATGGTTTTGGTATAAAGCTCACCCTTCTTGTTTGGTTTGTAGGTAACAGTTATTGTCTTGGGAAACAAAACTGACCTCCTGGACCAAAGGCAAGTGGAAACAGAAGCAGCACAGCAATGGGCAAGGGCTGAGAAAGTGAGACTGTGGGAAGTGACTGTGACAGATCGGAAAACACTGCTTGAACCCTTCACCTTCTTAGCTAGCAAACTGTCCCAGTCCCAGAACAAATCAACATTTCCCTTGCCTGGAAGGAAGAGCAAAGGGAATAACTGTGATAACTAGGCTAGCCTAGCATTGTCTCCTGCTGCCAGGTCACAGTCTAAGTCCTTTTTGTGCCATTTGCTTCTTGCAGTTTCACTTAAAGCAATAATCTCATTCAGCAATAAAATCAGCAAGATTATAGCTAAGAGGTATCCTTTCTTCTCACAGACTTGGCTTGAAAAAGTCGCTGGTGGTAAAAACCTAAAAAAGCTTTTCATGAGAGCAGTTATTTTGCAACAAGGGTTATGAAGACAGAAGGGATAGATGGACACCTCTCTATCAGGGGCTTTTACTATGCCTGGATGCAGCCATGTTGAGGGACAAATCAACAAGCTTACCGTTAAGCAATGGCCTTGCAGATCTGTAGCCTCTAGTCACAAATAGTATTAGCTGCAATAAAGCAATTTGGAGAGACAGTATGTTTGAAATGGCAGTAGTTCTTTTACCTTGACCTTAAATAGGGCCACAAAGCATACTGATGCTGCAGAAGGCTGAGGCCAGTGTCTTGTTGCAGGAGAAGGGTATGGGGAAGGAGAAATGATTACCAGATTTAGCCACTGATATTATGCCAGTGTCTGGAAGGAAAAAAAAAAAACAAAACAAAATCATACAAAAACACCCCTCACATCATCTGGGAAATACTAGACCAGATCTACCCTGACATGAAGCTCGTCAACAAAGTCTGGCAATCAGTGCTTCCAGCTCAAGAACTCATTTGTACAAACCAGAAAAGCTCTCAGAGCACTCCTTAATTTAACTGTGACCTGACGGACAAGATAGCTGTATGTGGGTTTGTTCCAGCATGTCCAGTACAAATCAGTCACAGTCACATAGGTGATAATTGTACTGAGAAATTATACAGAGCAATTTTGTATGCAGGAGGTACTGCCTGGGCTCTGCTTAGTGCATTGCATAACACTCCCACCCGGCTGCTCAGCCAAGCTGCAGCAATCCACCCCCCTGTACGAAGCTACAGGCCAGATAATAACTGGTACAAAGTGCTGTACTGCTGTGTGAGAGCGGGCTATAGGGAGTGTAGGGGGCTGCCTTTTGGGACTATCCTCATGGAAAACACCCAGAAATACCTGTACCAAATGGGTTTGGACTTATCATGCTGCACATTGTCCAGCAGCAGGAGCACAACTGGATGTGCTGTGTTGACTCAGTGCTGGTAAAGGTAAACCTGTGCTGCAGGAATCTGCTGTCCTAGGTCAGCCTGTCAGTAAAGTTAACAAAAGGGGATATAGAGGGACAGAATGAGCAACTGTTCCCAGAGACAGTGGCCAGTTTTTGGCATCTTAACAACCTCCTGTACTAAAAGATGCTACCTTTTCTTTATATTTGAAGACAAGAGCAGGGAGAGGGAGTGAACATAAATACCCAGTTCCTGCATTTTTCACTGCTGTTTTGAACAAATACTGAGAATTCCACTGTGAATCAGCAAAACCACAAGCAATATTTGCAGTGTCATATCATAACTGCTAAATAGTGTGCTTAATGATCACAATTAAGCTTATAGTATTGCTCTTCCTGAATACTGGTTAATAAAGTCTGTCAGCATTACTGATGTCAGAGCAGCAGTACACTTCACTAAAAACGAAGCAGGTATCCCTACCATTATAATAAAGGTAGACGAAACTGTTTATGTGCTTTGCTCAATATAGTTTGGATTGCTGTGGCCAAGGAGTAAGATAAGAGAGCAATTATGAATGAGCAAGCTCCTGCACTGCCCTGCTAGAAACATACAATTGTTTCCATTGCAACACTGCAGCTGAGTAAGCACTACAGCATGACCTCCTCCAACCTGGCTAGTAATAGTCATTGTCCCCAGTGATTCTGCACGACAACACCCACTACTCACTCATTTCCTACTGAACACACGTGTACTCCAGGCTTCTCCCTGCCCAGAAGACTCCATATCTGCCTGCATGCTTGGGAAGTAGAGGTGACTTCAGAGCAGCAGCGGTTCACCTCCTTGCTGCAACCTCTTACCAAGGAATGGGTCACGTTCCCCTTCTTCAGCTCTGCAGAATCCTTCTTCTAGAAGGGACTTGAATCAGCTTTGGATGAATCAAAATATGTGAAGACATCTACTAACATCACATCATCACTGAAGCTCACCCTTGAGCAAAGGGAGTACAGGTTGACAAGTCAGAATTAACTTAAAACGTGTGGAGATGGAAAGAATGGAGATGACTGGTTCCTTTCCAGCTCTGCACGCCGCAGACTCAGTGCCAATTCTACTGCCAAGACTGATGTCACCTGTAGGCTGCCAGAGCTGTGCAGTGGAAGTGTAGCTTGCTCACCTGCTCCCCTGGACTTGACAATATTTTAAGACAAGCAAGACAAAAAGGATCTTCCAAGTGACTAACTATTTTTTCAAATAGGTTATGTAAAGGCAAACACGTTATCTTTGATTTGGTTAATTCACTAGGAATGAGTTTAGATCATTCAATGCATTCACATAAAAAACCACCACCCACTGTTTTCTTTCATAAGCTTACTCTGATGCTTTTTAAGCACTCAAATAATCTATTCTAAATACCATAGTATTTTATTGACAAGTTATGGAAAACATAGTGTCTCCTCTGCAAACAATGTACATACAGTGGCTGGTACTGAGTGAAAATGAAACTTGCTGTAGTGCTGTTTTGCATAGGGTTAATAAGTAAAGTACAGAGTAGTTTAAAGGGCAGAACACATATTTTGTTCTTACTGTTCCACTGACTCAAACCCTGTTCTAGGTCACTGGGATCACTTACCTTCTGCAAAGCTAGAGTCCCTTCACGAGCTAATGGGGAAAAATTGTTAAAAAGAAGAAAAATAAATTAGTAAATTGTACTATCTTTCTCTGTTCTTCTTAAACCTCTATCCTGCTGAATACCCACTGTACAGATCAGTCACCCTCACCAGCTAAAACAGTTAATTTGGCATGTCCTGGTAGCACAAAGCAAGAAGCTGGCAAAAACCTACTGAGATTTAACCATTTACATCTTTACTCAGTAAAGGAGAGGAGGGAAAGATGACCAGAGATGCTCCTGGTGTGATGTAGCTATATACCAAACAGCCAAACAGCTGAGGGGACTCATACACCTAAACATACACTGTGTCAAAAGACTGCAGTTCAGCTGATGAGGCTAAGGTACTACTACCCACAGCCACCCAGCAAAGGAAAGGGCACCTCTAATTAACAGCTTACTTTGGAGCAAGTTAGATTGGCTCCGTATCTAGATAGGAAGAGAAGTATGTAAATAAAATATATATGGAATTTATTTTAAAGTACCAACCCAAATCTGAGAGTGCAGATGACCACGTGGCACCCAGAAGAATTTCACAAGGTGAAGTACTCGCCATGTGAAAATAAATCTGTGCTTCCGGCCTTTACCTTAAGGGAGTGGTCTGAAATGCCATATCCACAACTAACTGCCCTGTTGCTACACACCTCAATGTAAACACCATGTCTCTAGGAGATAATCTTTATAGGTAGTTAAAAGATCTACTGATTAAGTCTCCTTTACAGTGTCTCCTGCTAGCTTACCAGGACACGATTCCTTCTCCTCTTCCAAGTCCAAACAGTCACTCCATCAGAAAAGCATCAAGATATTTTTTTCTTCTTTTTACCTCCTGCCTCTTTCCCTTCTAGATTGCTTACACTTTTCCAGTTGTACTTTCACAAAACATGCCACTCCTGAAGAGGCAATGCTGTGAAAACTTCCACTAAAAAGTAGCTATCATGGATCCTGTGGTATGTTACCTCCTCATGGCCATGCCCCTGCACAACACTTAGACAGCGAACAGTTGCGAAGGTCTTACGCTGTCATTCATTGTATGGTTGTCTAGAACTGTGTTCCCAAAATAGCAGCAGTCAGTACACTCACCTGCAGATCTCCCTTGCCTTAACCATACTGTAATCATCAAAGAGTACTGGGAGACACCATTCTGGCAAAATGGGAAAGCAAGGGACTAAGCAGAAATGTTTTCTTTTTTTTTTTTTTAAACATCTTTTTATTAGCACAGTAACAAATGCAGACTTAAGTAGCCCACAACATACAACCAATCCACTGAGTGACTCCTATTCCACACCTTACAGTTAAACAGCTTAAGGTATTTCACTACAGGTTACCATAAGTCCTGATTAAACCCTTTATTCTTTTCACAAAGATAGATTGGCTTATAAAATAATACATTAACTACTTCTCCTTTCATATATGAGGCCATATATCCACCTCTCCATATCACAGATCATGAGATGACAGTCTTTAAAAAGGATTTGTTAAATACCAATGTGACCTCCCATAGGGGAAAACAATGCTGACATCTTTTTACAAAACGAAAACCCCAAAACAAAACCAACCCAGAACAAAATAAATCCCCCAAACCCAAAACAAACAAAAAGCAAAAACAGTGTGTAGAGTCTTGAAAGGACTTTTACATAAACGTCAACCTATGTACCTGTACAAAATTAAGCTGTTTTAATCTTTTACATATTGCAAGCAAACTGAAAACCAAAGAAGTCTAAGAAGTTTACATTCTTCTCGGTACTATATGTGAGCTAATATTGCTGAACTAATTACAGTCTTAAAGTATGCTATTCCCAATCCTAGCTGTCTACTGTAGCAAGATACCTTAAGTTACAACAACAAAATCTTAGGAAATAAAAGACTGAATAAAATCTGTTATAGAAATACCCTACTCTTTACCAGCACCCTCCCTCCTCCCACCCCTTCAAATTCATAAGCAGCTCTTTCCATCACAGACGAATAATGTAAGAGTTTGATGAAAATCCAATTTATGTAGCGTATCTTTTGGTCCATTGTCTGGCCATTCTGTCATGCTCTGCTCTGTTAGTCATATACTGAGTGGCAATGCTTCCAACCAGGGGGTCAGCTGAAAAGGAAATACACTGCTTATTTTAGACGAGTTACCAAATAAAAACTTTAAAATAAAGCTGAACTGTGAATTTAATACAAGGTAAAGTTCACTGTAACAATCTAAACATACTGAATTGATGGTCTGTATCCTCTCTGATTTTGTGTATTTATGGTGATGTACTAATCTATAACTCAATAGAGTGAAATGTCAACAAAGTTTTAAGGAGTTTAAGAGACAATAATCAGTCATAATTTGCATTACTGATAACTTTCACCAATTCATGCATTTCAGGTTTGTTTTATTCCCTCTAAAAGCATTGCTAAATGTCTTTGTATCAATATAAACCTGCCTTCTAGGAAAGATCAGATCTCAAGAAGAGGTTCCAATAAGTTCAGCATATATAACACAGTGTGAAATCTGGCGTTTCTCTGATTTTCAGATATATAAAAATACAACCTGTAAAATTGACTTTGAAAACCAAGACACATTCCTCTTAACTAGTGTGGATAGTGGGTGGGTTAGAGCAGCAGTGACAATTACTTGTGGTATAGTTGGTCACTGGTTTTAAATGGATGATGGAAAGTAAGAGGCTAATCCCCTGTTTTCAGAACTGTGTTTGTGGCTCTTCCAGTTCCATTACTGAATCACTGTAACCCTACAGACCAGCAAAGTGTTCAACCCTTACCCAAACCCAGGGTGGGTTTGGAGGAGGAAGAAGTTTTCATGTGCACGAGGAGGACCGCTGCTTTCCTCTTGGGGTCAGCCTGAGGAGCTGTGAACAGCAGGCTGTCTGGGCAGCTTCTCCGGCTGCCCTGGAGAGGGAAACCTCCTGCTCTGGAGGCTGGAGCCATGCTGGCTGAAGCCATCAGGGTGAGATGAGGGCCATGTAATATTTGGATGCCAGGAGGGGTGCAAGGTGGCAGGCAGCCTGCGTGGCCATGCAGGGAACTTACCCGGGTTGCAGTCTGTGAGGAGGGAGCAGATGGAGAGAAGAACTTTAGAAATGGTTAATGCTGGACTCCAGTTGTCTTTTAAAATGTCCAGGCAGATGACGCCTTGGCTGTTAATGTTACAGTGGTAGATCCTTGTCCGGAATGTTACCTGCAAGAGAGGGTTATGAGCACACGTGCCGCAGGGACAGGCGGTACAACGTGAGAGAGCGAAGCAGCGGCCCCGGGCTGACCCACCGCCGAGCTCCCCGGGCCGCCGCCGCCCTCTCGCGGTGGAAACCAAAAAGAGCCTGATTTAAATTAAAAATGAGTAACAGTCTCAGGAGCCGACTTCCACGGCCACCGCAAAACCCAGTATGTCGGGGGGGGTTAATTTTTTTTTTAATTACCTTTTGTGTTTTTGCTCGCAGTGGCAAAGGGGCCCAGGGCTTTAACACCAGCATTTTTCTCCTGCTGGGCTCCCAAGGACTTGTAAAATCCCCCAGACAGACCAGGGCACTCGGAATCACAGCTTTCATCACTTTTAAGAGCTCAGCAATAGGGTAAATTAGTTGGATTTTCCTATTTTCGATTCTGGGAGACGTGACTGAGCGAGACAGCTTGCCACAGAAGTTACCCGAAAGCGAAACAAAAGCACCATGAGCCAGCTTCAGAAGAACACAATGTGACCCGTAGAGAGGCCTTGCTCTGACTTACTGCATGAACAGCAACCACAAATTTGGTGGAATTTACATGGATTAGGATTATGTGGATGAATAAAGGCTGGTGGGTTCATGCCCTAAATCCTCAAAATTTGTCAGCTATCCACACCCACACCCACAAATTTTATGGTTTGTTTATAGGTCATGGGGGTATTTACAAAACACACTTGGTAAGCCTGCGGGGTAACAAGAACACACTAGTGCTTCACCTAGACATGAGACCAGCCCACACACAAAACTTGCCAGTCAACCTTCATTTTTTCTACTGCCTTTCTGATGCAAAAATTTTGCCTGTGACCCTCGCTCTCACCGGTTTGGGAGGCAGACACAGGGTGAGGTGACACAGCTACAAAACCCTGGTGCCTGCCGTGTCCCTGTGCACTGAATCCATGCAGTGTTATCAAGAATGCTCCCAATGCACAGAGCACACAGGCTATTTCTGGACTTACAAAAGCGGTTACTTGTCACACAGGAGACACCCACACTGCACACTTAGGGAGACTTTACACTTTGTTTCTTGTGAGCTTCCTGGATTTTGGATTAAAACAGGAAGCGAAGGAAACCCCGAATCCCTGCACGTTAGCACATTATGGGTGGGAACAGCAAAATGACTGAAAGAGAGCAGAGATGTGTCATCCTCCCACACCTTCTGCAACAAGCTGCCACTCCAAAACCAAGAACTCCTGCTGCTTTCTACCTAGGGAACCTTAGAGGCATAATAGCAGACAAGAAACCAAAGTGACCTTTGTTTCCCAGATCATCTAATCTTCAGAGGAAAAGCACTAATTACTCTCTACAGTCATGTGGAAGTCCACGTGCATCAGCCTGAGCAGAGGGCGGACCTGCCTCTGCAGTACTTGCCCCAACCCACACTGTTCAGGGCAAAACAGAAGTTTGTGGCATTTGCAGTGGCTGGTGGCGGCTCTGCCCTGGGTTGCCGAGCAGCCTCAGCCCAGCCCCATTGCTTGCTCAGTGTTTCTCTATTTGACCTGCATCCTTGGTCTCCTTCCAAGAAGACTCTAAATGTAAACGAGGTAAGAATTTTGACAGATTAAACACTTCCAGAAGGGGAAGCATGGAGTATTTCCAAGTAGATACAATAAGGACCAAATTACCAGAGGTCAACAGTTCTAATCTGTAAAGACAGAAAGTTGTTAATCCTGATGCTCAGCACAAAAGCTGAATACTCTGTAGGCAGTCTCTCAGTCCAGTTGACTGATAACTGAGAGCAAAACATGAATCCTGTTTGCCTTTAAAAGTAAGACTTACTTTTTAATTATTATTCATGAAGGAGGGGAAAGCAAAAACAAAAGAAGGGACTCCCATATATTGGCAGAACATGCTGGTTCTTTAACACACCGTAAGATATAATTCTTAAGGGATATATCCATGGCACCAAAAGCAGTTTTCTCCAGCTAGAGGAGCTCTACCAAAACACTGTGGGAAAAATCTAAATTTGTTTTCACTTAAAGCAGCAAGTCAGAACTGGGATCGTGTTAGAAACATGTAGTCCAGCTGTTTGCCATTTACAATTTTTGCTGACGGTACAAAAGTCAGCCATGCAGGGAACCCAAACGGAGCTGGAAGAGGGTGAGAAATTGGAGGCCCTCTTGAAAACAAACAAAAATATTTAAAGTAAATGTTCATTACACCTTAAAGAGGAAAAAAAAATCATATAAACCTAGCAGATTAAGACCAAAATCAAAAGAAACTGAGCTACTTAGAAGGTAGTAAAGAGAACAGCATGTAGAATAGCAGAAAAATACAGTGCAACTGAACAATCCTTTGGAAATGTCCCACCTGAGATTACATTAATGCAGTAACTACACAGAGTTAAGCACGGCTTTTGAAAAGACATAAAAGAAGGTATTCTCGACCTTACCCTGAAGTGATAGCAGAGGTTAATTTACACAAGTAGCAGAATAGGAGTGGGTAGAAGGAAGTGGTTAGAGGTTATTAATACAAATGATCAAAGCACACACACCAGGTCAACACAAGCTACTGTTTTCACCTCAATAAATGAAATCTAATCCAACTATAATATAACTCTTGGGAAAATGTCCATTGTAATAGTACAAGTACTGAACTCTTAAATTCTAATTATATTTGTTTATTGGATTCTCCTAAATCCAGGCCCACCCAGCACGTGCCCAATTCAATTGCTATCTCAGACACAGGCAAAACCAGAACACCACACAAAATGAGAAAACATAAAAAGTAGAGAACAGATTAACACTAAAATCTTCAAAGTGGTATATGGAATGCTCAATAAATGCAAAAGAACTCCATTATACATATTTAGGACATGAAAGAGAGTATCTGTCCCTGTATCAGATTTCTCCCACTGAAGTTCCTTGTATTATGCAATGTATTTCCAAGGCAAATTTTAAGACCTTTCATTTCTCCACCCTCAAGTTACAGTAGTGCAGTCCCTCTTTATATCCTTCCAGGAATCTGTTAATATCACTTCCAGCACAGTCCTCTGACTCTCCAAAAACGTTTGCACCAACATACTGAATCAAACCCTCTGCTGGAGCTAGACCCAGTCCTCAAAGGCTGCACCTGTATACCCTTTATCACACATCTCTAGGATGCTCATCAGCCACACGGCAGTTGTCAACAGTGGTTTCGCCTCAACACCTTCTCTCATGCGTATTCCTAAGGGCTTGGAAGCCTGCCAGGATGACCATTTTCATCTTGCTTTATTTAAGAAAGTAAATCCTTTAATGACATTTCATTTTCAGGTTGTGAAACGTGTTTAACTACAGGCACTTCACCACTGGGCAGCCCACAGGAGGGACTGTCCTCAAAGACTCAAGGAGGCAGTAGAGGTTTTATTCCACTGATTTTACAAGGCTTACCAAGGAAGATTCAAGTGAAACTAGTCCTCTTTCTTTAGAGAGTTTAATCTTTTCAGAGCTTTTAGGCTTTTAAAATTACATTCTTTCAGGCTTTTAAAATGACATTCTACTCTTCTAAAATTACTGCTTTGCTAGTGCTTATCATCGAAGTCATACACTGGGTTTTGTTTCAACCAGCTGTTTCTTTATTTTTTGCCCTAAAACACATATAAAGGAAGGCTACGGTAATTAGATTAGCCTAGCACTTCAAGATGACCCACAAACAGTATTTACTGGTCACTGCAAGTAGTTGGGACAATCTGAAAACAACAAAATAGCAGGAATAAAGCAAGAGCAATAGGATAATTATATTTTCCACATTACCATTTATTAACACTAGTGTAGATGTTAACACAGAAGCAGCGAAGAAAGGCTCTTTGTTTAAACCTGAAGTACTCATGTAGCACAAGTATCTTCTATTAGAGCATCACTATGCTTTCTCCTATATCCCATCTCAATGTGACTGAAGCTATATATATTTTATTTCCATACACATACGTGGTTTGTAAACCAACTTGGACTTTGCTAGATGAAAGACTCCATTTAAATGAGACTGCTACAATACAGTGAATGGCCACTAAACTAGTTTTTTAAAGCCTCATTAAGTGGTGCTTGTTTGTTTTTTTAATCCCACCCTTCTTTTCATCTGGGTGAGGGTTTAGATTCAAAGATAAAGAGATTCCTGTCAGAAGCACAGAGCAGAAAGCACGGCTGAGCTTGTATGACATAACTGTATATTTAGTTCTGCATCAGGGAACTCGGCATATAAGGCTGTCTCCATATCGCCAGTAGTTACAATATGGTCCTGTAAGAGATCCTACCTGACCCTCAAGGCAGAATGTGGGCACTCAGAGAGCAAAGGCTGCAGCTCTGCCTGGGGCGTCTGCACTGTCTGCAGTGGCAGATGCTTCCATCCCGATGCAGCAGCTGAAGGCAGAGGCTGCAGTGCAGACCTCAGGCTCAAGGCAGTGCTGAGACCTTTCTCCTGGGGCAGGACAGGCAGCAGATCTGCCTGCAAAAGGTGTGCCCAGGTGGAGGACCTCCTGCAGCAGGTGGTTGAGCTGTAGGAGGTAGTGAGAAGGCTGTGTGGCATCAGGGCTGCTGAGCAGGAGTTGGACAGCTGGTTCCAGGCTCAGTCTGCAGAGGACCCACAGCGTGCAGCCAAGCAGCCAGAAGCATTCCCAACAGCACACAGGGAAGGGAGGGGGGGCCAATAATGCAGAAGAATGAGGCTTGCCACAGCAAGGACCTGCAGAAGGAAGAGACTTCCCCTCAAAGCCTGACGTGCCTCTGCAGAATTGCTTTATTGCTTTGCTGCTCCGAGATTGGAGAGGAAAGACCCATGACGTCAGGAAAGACATGGAACTGGGTAAGGGAGCCCCATCCACTCCCTGTGTAACAACCAGCGCAACTAAGAGAAGGCATCAGGTGCCAGTAGTAGGAGAGTCTTTGAAGAGGTGCAGAGGCACCCGTGTGCAGACCTGATGTACTCTCTAGAGAGATGTGCTGCTCACCAGGGGCTCATAACAGGGATGTCACAGACAGGCTTCCAGGCCCTGTACAGTCCACTGGCCATTGCCCACTGCTGCTGTTTCACCTGGGCACCAGTGATACAGCCAGGAGCAGTCTTGGCAGTGTCAAGAAGGATTACAGAGCCCTGGGAGCAACAGGAAAGAACTGGTTAGTTTTTTTATCAATCCTCCTGGTCAAAGGGAAAGGGTTCAAAAGGGCCAGTTGCATCTGGCGAATCAACAAATGGTTACAGGACTGATGCTCCAGCTGGGTGTTTGGCTACTCAGACCATGGGACTTGCTTTGAGAAACCTTGTCTGCTGGGCACTGATGGGGTCCACCTGCCAGAGAAGGCAAAGAGACCTGAACGAGTAGCTCCTGGACAAGCCCAAACACATAAAACTCAAGAAGTTTAAGAAGGCCATGTGCAAGGTCCTGTAATTGTCCTGGGGCAATCTCAAGCACTCGTGAGACCCCATCTAGAGTACTGCATCTAGCTCTGGGGCCCCCAACATGAGAAGCATGTGAACCTGTTGGAATGAATCCAGAGGAGGGCCATGAAGACAATCAAGAGCGCTGAAGCACCTCTCCTATGAAGACAGGCTGAGAGAGTTGGGTTTTTTCAGCCTGGAGAAGGCTACGTGGAGACCTTAGAGCAGTCTTCCAGTACCTGAAGAGGGCCTAAAAGAGAGCTGGAGAGGGACTTTTCATAAGGGCAGAGAAAGGGAGTGACAGTTTTAAAATTAAAAAGGTACATTTAGATTTGATACTGGGAGGAATATCTTTACTGTGAGGGTGGTGAGGCACTGGAACAGGTTGCCCAGAGAAGCTGTGGATGCTCCATCCCTGTAAGTGTTCAAGGCCACGTTGGATGGAGCTTTGAGCAACCTGGTTTAGTGGAAGACATCCCTTCCCATGGCAAGGAGGCTGGAATTAGATGATCTTTAAGGTCCCTTCTAACCCAAACCATTTCATGATTCTGCAATGAGTCTGGATAAGCCTGGGGTGATAAATGCTTCTGACCTGTGGCACAGAAAGCAAAGGTGTAACAAAGCACACATGGGAATGAAAAAGCTTCCTCTTTAAATGCGTACTGGGCTCATGACATAATAAACTGCATATAGTTGGTTGGACAATAAATTATTCAATGCAAACTAATGAAAAAAAAAAAAAAAGAGAAACTATTCTAAACTGAATTAAGTTCTAACCCAAGAGAACCATCCATGATGCCAGAGAATCTCCAAAAAGGGATAGACAGATGTCAGTAGGAAAGCACTAGACATGCCCCAAGGTGGACCATGCTGCTTGTGAATCAGAGTCCTATCTTAGGGGTGGAATTTAAGGTCCTGTTGATACTATCAGAAACCCTCAAGTTATGCTAGGAAAAACAGTCAAAAAGTTTCTTTAATTTGGCAAGCTTGTATTGATTTGTCTTGCATGACCAATTAGCATTGTCTCTGCTGAGATGGACTGATGGCCTGAACTATGACAAATCCTTTCTACTGCAGACTAGACCAAAGTCTGAAGATGGGGCAGTTGTCGGCATTTATCTCATGAATCAAACAACTTTTAAGCAGAAAGTTAAACATGTACATAAATGCTTTCAGATACAAGGCAAACACTGAGTGTATACACAACCACCTCTTCTGGTAACCTAACACTCTTCCCATGGCCAAGTATTGGAACCACAAGATAACATTCACTTCCACTGGTATTTGCCTTATAACACTGGAACACAAACACACTGGAAGGTAAGAGCTTCACAAATATAATACACCTACAGAAAGTTTGTTACTGTACAAATAGGTGAACAAGTGTCCAACTAAATGGACTAATTAAATATTACCTTAGTGGCCAAAACACACGTAACTTATGCTTACAGTACCCAAGTGGTTTGAGAAACAAGTATTTGTAGCCTTTCTCCTCTCCTCAAATTTATTTACTTCTCAATTTCCCAGTTGTGTCCCAATGCTTGCACTAATTGCTTTGGACCTCTTATGAATAGAAGCAGGGAAAAAAGAAAACAAGGTCCAAAATAACGATCAAGAGGACTTGAAAAGCTGTTAACATTAGCTAATAGAAACCTGTGAAATGTTTGAAATGGGCTTAAGTTTGTTCTTAAAAAGAATGGCTTTCAAATGGGCTGCATTCCATTAACACTGCATGCTACCCAACGGTCTGTTGAGCATTCATGACTTAAGGCATCAGCTACAGGTCTCTTACCTTTGGAGGCTTGAAAGGATATTCTGGTGTAAATGTGATGTCAAGGAAGAAAACACCTCCCTCATAGACTGAACCTGGAGGTCCTAGAATAGTTGATCTCCATTCATAGATGTTGTCACCTTTGGGGCCAGCACTAAGAGATAAAAAACAAAATTGTTTAGGAATATGATTACAGCTCAAATAAATATGACTTCTTACATTCTTCAAGTATGATATGGAAAAAAGTTTTCAGTGTTACTCTTCATACACAATCTGAAGTAGAGACAGGGATTAAAAGTAGATTGAATACTTCCAAAATCTCAAAGATCTTACCTGGACTTATCAGTGTTCCCGACTGCTTAGCAAAGCAAAGAAACTAGGGATGGGGCATAGTTTCCAGCCTCTCTCTCCTGGCCTTTATAAGAGTAGCACTGCCCAGAACTACTCCCAAACATACTACACTATCAACACAACAGAAGAATTAAGTTTCAAGGAACAATTTCCCACTGTATTTCAGAAATGGCTCTTCCTTCTCAGTCTTAATAAAACCGTACCACGTTAAAGACCATACTAAATAAATTAAAGACTTATGTTAATTTCCTTTATCTTATGTGTCCTTTAAAATTAAAATATATTCCTGCATTATTGCTAAACCAAGGCTCACAGTATAACTGAAGGAAGAAAATACATAATGATGTTTTTAAATTTCCGAATTTTCTACACTTTTATCATTTTGCTACACTGATTTCTAAAATGAGGCTACGTGAACTTAACCCCATTGATATTATTTGCATTGTGGAACGGCTTTTGTAAGGGAATTAAAACAGTACTTTCTCAAATCAGCTTTGTCTAACTCTGGATTCTCCCTAACCTGCCAGCAGCTCACTACGAGTGGTACAAACTAAAGGTGTTGCAGAACTCAAACGTCTGCTTGTGGAAAATTAGTTTTACTGAGATCCTCAGACACTTGTATTCTGCAGTGTGCCGTATGTCACCTAAGTGCACCTCAACCAATAAAGCCATTAATGGTTTAGGACTCCATTGCTGCCTCTTTCATTCTGTGCTGCTATGGTAGTATTTTATCTGTAAGATGCAAGAACTGAAAACTCCCTTTGCATACAGGGAGGTGCTGACACAGCCTTTTCCATCATGGGTGTACCATGGCTTTGGAAACCTCTTCTCCCCTTGTTCTGAAGGGAATGGATCTTAACATTCCTAATATAATGAAAACCAGCCTTGGTCTTCTTTCCCCATTCTTTTAATAAAGCTACTATAAGACAGAAGGATAAAAACAGGCTCTCTTTATAATATAACAATCATGGAGCAGTATTACTTGGGAGGGAAGGCAATCCAGTAAATTCAATATATACATGACAATATGCATTTGATTAAGGTGCAGGGAACCGGAGTAATCGCTAAGTGTTAGTAACAATGTTACAAATAGAAATACGATTGTGAAAACATAAATTGTCAAAGTAACTTCGGTGATCAGAGACATGATTTTTTTCCCCTGCTCTTCACAGTACTGGTGAACATGTTCTTGACAGCAGGGGAATTGGGAGGGAGAAAGGGAATTAATTCTGTTATCATACCTAAAATTTTATTTTCAGATTAGACTAATAATAAAATTTCACAATATGCTGGTGCTAGATAATTCAACAATAGTGAAGCTATAACTAAAAGCATGCTTCCAGGAGCAGGAAAGCATGTAAGAAAGCAGTAAAGGGAGACAGATTCTCTGTAAAGTGATGCACCAGCCACGAGGGAAAGATTTTTCTCCCCAGAACATGAAACCTTGTGCAGCTCAAGATCAGTACTAAATTAAAGTAAAAGCCATTCTATCCTGAACACTTCTGGCATCCCACTCCACCTTAATGACTTGTCCCTGTCCTATGCAGGTCTATATATCTGGACACTCAGTATTCTCCAGCTACCACTTGTGCATTAGAGTGTTGTATTTCGACAGGAAGCTCTGCCTCTGGAAAGACACCAGCTTAACTGTGCAAACTTACTGAAAAGGACTCTCTGGGGCACTTTCAGCCACCACTTCAAGAAACCACCTCTTTATATATACATTAGCAACCTACTGACATGCTGTCATTACTGCAAGTTGCACCAGAGATCATCCTCCCCTCCCTCCCCTAAAGATGGAGCTACCGAGCGGGAACAGGTACTTGAGCTTTGTTAGCACCGATTTACTGTTGGAATTTTTATCATGAGAACTGGCAACTGGGAGCACTTCAGAACTCAAGAAATGTGATGTGTGATTAGCACTGCTTACAGCCCTCTGAACCAACGAGAAATATTTCAACATTCTGCATTTTATTTCCAGCTTCGGCCCAAAGGACTGTCAATAAAAAAATCCCACAGACTTAAAAAATAATATATTATCATTTGTAATAGTCTTAGAAATCTCTTGTATCCTATTAGATTTCCAATTAGAGCTATCACTGCACAGAAGTAATATACTGCTAGACCTCCATATTAAGAGTGCAACATCTTTGTTGCACATCAGTAGGCTTTAACAGTGATGTACTAAGCTTACCTTTTAAGCTTTTCATAATTCAATTAACAGAGTGAAACAGCTGTACATGTCCAATTTTTACACATTAACATTGATTTCTTATAAAGGAAAGACTGAAAGAGGAAGAGGCAAGCCAGCTTCATAGTAGAATATTGCCCAGATTTAATTTAGGATTAGGTAATATCAAACAGCTCATGAAGACCTACTGCTTAATACAAAAGTGACGATGCTGGACCACAGCGTAAGAGCAGCAGCATTAACTTTTGGTGGAGATATCAGAGGTTAAAGATTACATCCTTTGTTTAAAATCCATGCAATTATCTGCTTCAAAATGAAATTTACTGATGCATAGACACAGGGCTCAGAGGCACAGCTGCCACCTTGCCTGATGCATGTCACCACTGCTCAAATTAAGTGTTTAGATCTACTAATACAACACTTTGAAGCTGTGCAACATATGACCGCTGGGAAGACAATCTTAACCAATTAAATAGAAATTGTTTACACTGCAAGACAAGCGTAGAGAGCAACAACTTTCTGTATTAACTCAGCAGCCCACAACCTCTTCACTTCCAAAGAAAGAAATGAGTAAAAGAGGTGTAATGCAGAGTAAAAGATGACATCCAAAAGAAGACTGAAAAGATCCCAACCCATTATTATCCTACCAGGCAGCACGTGTTACGCAGCAGTGCAACTGACATCTCTCTTCCTCGGAAAAACAGCAATATACTCAGTGAAGATGTGCTGCACCCACTGTAGCAACTGTTCCTGATCATTCCCAATGATGCTGGCTTATGCTCTGGACAGATGTTATGACAAGAAACGCTCCTTGGGAAACTGCACAGTGCCAAGGTATTGTTCAAGGACTACCTAACTTTCCAAGTCCAGAAGCAGGAAAATGCAAGGCATTACCTCCTGGTAAATGCAAGGCATAGAGAAAGTCTCAGCACAGGTGAGACCAGGCTCAAAGTTCTGCAGCGGTCATGTCCCAACCAGCCTTGTGTTGCTTTGGAAAAATCTGATCTTGCTCTGCCTCCTTGTCCTGGCAGGTGCCATATTCTTTCTCAACTTAAAAACCAAACAGGTAAATTATAAATGCCTGCAGCAGAGGCTGGGGAACAGAATGATGCCTCAGTAAATGAGCTGCAGATGCCTTGTGGTATTGAGCAACGGTAAACACAGGACTGTGCCTCAGAGATTCGGTGTTCGTGGAGGGAACACACACACACACTCACACACATCCCCCCCCTTCATGAATTTTAAAGGCTGAAATGACAGACAGTCTGCAAGAACACCCAGCCTGTGGCTTTATCGTATTAAGCCATCCAGGTACAACCTCCACCACAGGCCTGCATTATGTGATACCACCCTGATACTCTGCAAACACAAACTCAGCTTCCTCCTCCACCCTGGCACTCCTGGGCAAATCACTTGAAGTACACCTATGCCATGGAGGGAAGGCAGGACTTTTTGGTGCTCACCACATATAGCTAATGTACAAAAATCCCTGGGAACACACTGAACAGTACTTTCCAGGAGAATGACTCAGAAAGAGTCCATTGTTTATGACAACATGCTAGTTTATTTGGAAACTACCTGGTCCTTTCTAGGGGTTGACCAAATGATAATGTAAGTGCTCCCTTTAGTGAAATTTCAGGCTGGCAAATACTTTAGTTCCTCTTCTTTGAGATACAGAAAACACACAATAGCAGATCACTGCAGTGATAAATAAATCAAAATGGTACAGACACTAGGTTAATACCCTGATATATCAAAGCAGCATATATTCCTTTTAAAAGCTAACTAATTTAGCAGAGCAGCTAAAAAGTGCCAGAGACTGCTATCCATCAGGGTGATAAGAAGTGCAATTTCATGTTACGCTTAAGGAAATAACAGCTAATGAAAACCTACAATATGTTTCAGTTAAAACCACAAATAACAAAACCACGAACTCATACTCCAACTACTTCATATCCCTAGTTGCTATTTTTGAGGCTATTTTGACCTGAACATGAAGAGCCTGATGCAAGTAGTTAAGCTGTTTTGAAGTTGCACACTTGGGGAAAATAAATATAAATTCTAAAAACACTGCAGACATGACCTTTTCCAAGGGACATAGCTCAAATCAGAAAGCAAACAACATACTAAGGCACATGGGAATTCCAAGGTGGCAGAGAATCTAATGATCTCCAAAACAAAGCTGTACCATTACAAACCATGACAGCAACATCAATATTTTTTTCCTGTTGCTTTATTTTGTAGTAAGAAACAGTGAATGACTGAACACGGAAGTGCGTCTTGGTTATGGACTCATCACCTACTAGCTTTGGGAAATATTTAGTTGAATGTTAGGTCTCTTTCTTGCCCTTTATTTCCTCCCCCCTTTCCTTTTTTTTTTTTCCTCCAAAGATGCAGGCCCAAAATGCATTAGAAATTTTGACTGCCAGCGAGGCAGCATATCATTCTCACATGAAGTTCTGGTGCACCTTGATTTTCCTTCCTAGTCCACCCTGTTCCTGACCCCAGGCTAAATATGGGGGTTTTTTGCTGGTAGCTCACTAGGTGGGTCCACACTAAACTTGCTCACTTACATTATTAGGCTGAATCTGGTGCAGAGATTGCAAAAGCAC